TACAACATATGTCAATCACAAAAACATGTTAAGTCAAAGAAACCAAACAAAATATTCATATATTACATGATTTTACTTACAAGACATATGCAGAATAAATAACCCATTGGGACAGAAAGCAGATTGGCAGGCTGGAGAAAGTACAGAATAAGGAACTCTTATAAGTACAGTTTTCTTCAGGGTTTTAAAATGTTCTGGAACAAGCCAAGGGTGGCTTTAAAATAATAAACGCAACATTTTACCTTAATAAATAGTAAAAAAATTAAGTTACTTAATATTGATAACCATGGTTCTTTATTTTCTACTCTGGTTTTAGAGCCTGTTTTGAATAGTCTGTTAACATTTTGAATTTTGCATCTCACTCTAAATGTTGATTCTGAATTCCATTAACATAAAGCTTACATTAGTATTTATATGCTGACAATTACTAAATTAACATCTAAAACCCAAGACACTTTCCTGAGCTCTGTTGTCACATATGCAACAGAATCTTGGCCTTTTACTTGGATATTCCACAGGCACATCAGATGCAACATGTCCAAACTATTTTGAAACCGTTTAATTTGTTTTACTGTGATTCTAGTTACATTAATATGGAGATTGCTTTTATCATGAAGGATTAACTTCTACCATGAAAATTACACTCCCATAGCAAATAACTAAAAACAAGGGAAAAAAATAAACATTCTTTTTAAAAAAGTGCTAAGTGCCCAGCTCAAAACTGTTAACCGCAGGGAAAAGCAAATCAGATAAGCCATGTGAATGGCCCAATTTAGTGCCTAGAGAATCTTCAGATGGTAGTAAAAGGAGATGGAAACCTAATAGGCAAGACAATGTATCAGCTACAGATAAGAGGTAGGAAAAACTGAAGTCTAATTTGTAGGGCACAGCACCAGAGGTAGAGATACAGAGTTAAGCATGTCGTATACATATGAAAAAGAAAACAAAAACAAAAAATCTACAAACTGGTTGAAAACTGCACATGTATGAACAGAAAGTTCTCATAGCCAGGAGTTAAAAGTTATTCTGAAAGTATCTTTTACTAAACTCCCAGAGAGTGGAGTAAAATCTTGATACAGTAAGTAATTCTAACTATGTGTCAGACTAAACAGTATTCTAGATCCTTAACATTTTAGCAAATTTAATCCAACAACATACAAAGAGTATAAAGCATTATGACACAGTCGTATTTGTCCCAGGAATTCAAGGTTAGCTTACTTGAAAAAAAAAATCAACCAATGTAATTCACTATATGAAACCAATTAAAAACAGTATATTCATCTCTGAAAATGAAGAGACACTTTGTCATAAAATTAACACCCAGACAGACTGAAGGCTTTCCATCAAAACTGAACTCTATGGAGATGCATAAAAACCATCCTCCTTTATATGGCCCTGATTCAAGTCTCTGCATTTAGCTTAAAGAAATTAGACAGCATATGAAAACTGGGAGTCACATATGAATGCCAGATATGAAGAATCTAGTTACAGTTTGTTTCTCCTACCTGCTAGTGAACTGGCCCAAAGGATCAAGACTGATTGAACAGACATAAAAATCCTTCTTGTTAACAAGTTGGGGCCGAGCAGTGGTGGCACACAGGAGGCAGAGGCAGGCAGGATCTCTGTGAGTTCAAGACCAGCCTGGTCTACAAGAGCTAGTACCAGGACAGCCTCCAAAGCCACAGAGAAACCCTGTCTCAAAAGACCAAAAAGAAAAAAGAACAAGTTAGGTTGTAGTAACTGTCCTTTGAAGCTAAAATGTAACACAATTTGGGAAGTAAAAAAAAATATTGTGATCATAGTTTGCATTTTGCCCATGATATCTAGCCACTATGAATGTTGATGTAATTGTAAATAGTGTTAAGCGCCACTCTTAAAAAGTATTAATTAATTATAAGTATACTATGGCTAAAATGACACTGTCCCAGCAGCCTTTTTTTTTAAAAGATTTATTTATTATGTGTACAGCATTCTGTCTGTATATATGCCTGTAGGCCAGAAGAGGGCACCAGATCTCATTACAGATGGTTGTGAGCCACCATGCGGTTGCTGGGAATTGAACTCAAGACCTCTGGAAGAGCAGCCAGTGCTCTTAACCTCTGAGCCATCTCTTCAGCCCCCCAGCAGCCATTTCTAATTACTGTTGTTTTTACTGCTATCCAGAATGTTATTTGTGAAGAGTCCTTACAGCAAGTTGTTTTATGGATGTAGGCATATAACTACAAGGTCATTTAAACACAGGACAATCAATCTCTATTTTATTAAAATACTGCTGAACAACAACAACAAAAATTCCCAACACCCATTGGGGAAAATTCTAGGAACATTAGATTATCTTCTCAACCTAACAGAGCATTAAAAAAAAAAAAAGATTTAAGAAAGGCAACAGGCTTTGAATGTAGCTCATTGGTAGATAGCTTGACTCAAATGCACAGGACCCTACCAGGTTCTACCTCAGCATCAGAAATAAAAATACAACAGCTAACATTATACACAATTATAGAACACTATATGCTTTTTGAGGCAATGGAAATTGTGCGTATAATACATAATATTTATTTTATGCAAATTTTGACAATAAAGTTGACCCACTGACTCTTAAAAAACCCATCATGTTTTTATCATGGTTCTTCAACATTTACTCTTCTAAACAAGTTGATTAAAATGAATGCTCATGCTTAGAATCTGTAGATGGCTAAAATACAATTTTACAATAATGAATACCATTTATATTTATATATCTTCATCTTCTATAAACTACAAACTGAACATTATGGTGGTAACTATGTTGTAGTTCACACAGAGAGCTAGCTGTAAACTCAACTCCCCTTTTTTTGAGATAAGGCCTCACTATAGAGCCCAGGCTGGCCTGCCACTCAGCTTCACAAGTAACTGGAGTAATAGAGAGGGTTCCCACCACCAAATAAAGTGAATTCTTTTGTTTGTTTTTATTTTGGAAGACAGGGTTTCTCTATGTAGCTCTGGAGCCAGTAGTGAAACTTGCTCTGTAGACCAGGCTGGCCTCTAACTTACGAGAGATTCACCAAGGGCTGGGATTAACAGTGTGCGTCACCACAGGCCCGATAATGTGAATTCTTAAGCAACTGACAATCTGTGCCAAACTAATAATCAGTTTAAAAATCAGTAATAAATACAAGCAATATAAAAGAGTCTAGTTTCATTCTTCTATTCTGTAGGTCTTGTATTTCTATAGATGTAAGTATATTTCTATCAAAGAACTTAAATATACACATTACTTATTATTTGACCTGGACTAATTCAAGTTAAAATTTAATTTGAACTTCAGCCACTTCCATCAAGAAAGATCACTCAATTACCATGAAAATACTTAAGAAAATGGTACTTTTAGAAATAAATAATTTTCATTCTATTGGTAAATGCTAAACCCACTATAATTTTAGTATTTTTCAATCACTGAAAATAATCATTTTCTAATTCCTTAGTCATAGTCATAGGCCTATAGGTGGAATGTAGTTCAGTTGGTAGAAATGCTTTTCAAATATGCAGGAAGCTCTGGGTTTGATCCTTGGCACCAGATAAAACAGGGTCTTTAGTTGTGCCTTTTATCTCAGCACTTGGAAAGTAGACAAATAACACAAGTTCAAGGTCAGCCTAGCGATTCCCTTTCCCAAACAAAGAACAAATACGCTTCATTCATAAGGCCTAAATATATTACTACAGAAAATGAGAAATCAGTAAGTCCAAAGCTAAGAGCTAGTATTAGAAAATTCTTTGCATTTGTTTTTCCTGTCTTGAAGTCAAGTAAGAAATTTGTCTAAACTCATTTCTCAAGTGTTTGCTGAAGGAAATAAAGTTAGTTCACATAAAATGTGGACTCTAGAAACTAATATGTATTAACTGAAAGGAGATATATATTATTTCAATTGTAATATTAGTGAGTAACAGTATTTTACCACATCCTATCCCTTACAAAAACCAGAAGTCACCATTCCTCATCAAATAGACAAACCAGTATGCACAGAAATAAAGTTGATAATTGGACTGAATGGTAGGGCATCCACGAACAAAACCAAGCATGATTATTTAGGTAAGACATGGCTATACTACTTTAAGAGCACCACCACCACCACAAAAAAAAAAATCCCCAAAGCTTATATATATATATATATCAAAAAGAGCATTATAAACAAACAGGCTGAAACTGATGTAGCTCATGTTTTTAAACATTTTTATAATTGTAGTTTATTTAATCACTCAAGTTCATGGTTAACTTCATTTAAAATAAGCTCAATAGCCAGGCATGTTGGCAAATGCATTTAATCCCAGCACTGAGGAGGTAGAGACAGCAAGATTTCTTTGAGTTTAAGAACAGGCTGGTCTACATAGTTCCATAGCTACAAAGTGAGGCCCTGTGTCAAAAGCAATAAAATATGTTCAAGCACAATACTTTTTTCAAATCTATTTCCCAACTCTTCCTTTGTTTTAATGATCTATAATACAGAAAAAGAAACATAAATCAAACTTGTTTCTAGAACTGTAAAGATATCTATACATTCCTTCTAAACATAATTCAAACCATCAAACATCAACCTAGAACTGCTGAATAAATAAACAGTAAATGACACACAGAAGGAACTGTCATTTATAAATTTATGATTATGTTTCTAACTTCTAAAAGAAAATTATCCATGTGTAAAATAAATAACATAAATACTATTAAATTGAAAATATTAAAAAATCATAAAAGCAATCTAGTATTATAGTAATGAAGCTATTATAAATTCCACAATTAGGGACATTTAATATTTTAGCTTTCAACATATTTATTATGTTCAAGAAGATCTTCAAAATCACTACTGATCAACAATAAATATCAGATGACTACCTTCCGGGTGACTAGGATGACACTAATGTGAACTATATAGTTCAAATAGAGCTTTAACATATCACAAACATTTAACAAACTGTTATTGTAGCAAATAAAAGTCATATCTCATGTATTGATTCTTCTAGCCTACCTGTGTCTTCAATAAATTCCACACATTTTTCAACAAATAGTGGTATAGGCTTCTCAGCTGTAACCAGATCTTGGAGGGGCATCCCAAAGTAATTACTTTCCCAATTTCTACGTGTTGGTGGATTGAAGGTCTTAGTTTTCTTTTTCTGCTACAAGAAAACATATTCAAATTAAAACTATTAATGTTTATCTTTTCCAGAATATTTCCAAGTAATATAAATAAATACTTTGGGCCCAAAGTACTCACAAGTCACATCCAATCCAAGTGCCCAGTAATATTTGCCCTGATAAACTCTGCTAGATGTAAACTTAACAATGGAGACAGAAATGACCAGGAAGAAAAATAGCTAACTGTAAGAAAATGGTCTCTTTGGGACATAAGACTGGATAAATAAGAGGTTGGAAAAATTAAACAGCAAGAGATCAGAAAAAAATTCTCAATGTTAACACAAAGGACTAACAGTGATAACTAGCAATCTCCTTGTTTTATATATATGGTCTGTCAACTTTTTTTGGTCTTTGAGGTAAACTGTGATTTTTACATAAACTTTTATTTTTAAGATCAAATTATGCTTAACTATAAATTTTTAGTGTCACCACCACACTTCTCCTATTCATTTTTCTTTCTATGTAGTCCCTTTACATTTCAACATAATTTTCTAAAGGAACATATAAAATATCTTCAGAAAAGTAAAGAAATTAAACAAGAATTTTCAAAATCTAACATTAGAGAGAAAATATTCTTTACTAGGAAGTGAACATATTAAAAACACAACGAACACTGTCTGAAATCCAACTGTTCAGGAGATACAAGCGCAACCTTTCTGGATTAGATGTTGTCTCCATAGATGGATTATATTGCAAACACCCAGATCGGGATTTCTGTAGTACAGGAAGATAAAGTCTTTAAGCACAAAAAGAGAATGTGACAGCACTTTTACTGACAACCTTAGATTCGTTCAGTCTAACTTCATATACAATTTTTTTATTTTCCTGTGTATAAGCCTAACCAAAATAAGTAACAGCACATGCACTCACACACACAACACAAATCTATTCATATAGTCAGTAAGTATTGTTGCTGACTTACAAATAATACACCAACATACTTTCTAGTCAGAAAAGTGGAGCAGTAGCAGAAGAGTAAGCATAGATACCATCATTGTACCTAATGCTCCCAAACACCTTTCATTTTCCCCATTCTTTCCTCAGGGAACTTGTTTTAGTCTCTGCACTGGACATCTTGAATATTTTAGTCCTTTCCCGCAGCAAACTGCCAGCACTCGTAAAATCTAACTTTCAAATCTTCAGCACTAACACTTCCTAGAAAGAGAATATACAGCTCTTGAAAAGTGCAGACTATCAACAGGCCATTAGAGTGTTCTGGCTCCAAACCTAACTTACAAGTTAAAATCTGTAATCATATTCTCCAACTGACATTACCAAAATAGAGCTGTGTACAAGGAAGTAGCAGAAACTACTTACAAGTCAGATAGAGGTAAGTGGCTGAGTCCTTTTTCTTGGACATGAGGTCTTTTTCAAGCTACAAACTAGTAGTTGTATTATAATTTGAATGCATAAGTAAAATCTGAAGCAAAACTGTTTTGTTTTATAGAAATAACAGTTGCTAAAGAACTTCAGCTTTAGTTAACAGCAATGCCTAGAATTTAGCAGTATGAACAGAAATGAATTAAGAACTCTCAACCTGTAATATCAAAGTTATTTCTAAGCGTTAAGATATCTGGGCCTGGAGCGATGGCTTGATGGTTAAGAGAAAGTTCTCCTCCTGAAGAAGACTTGAGTGTGGTTTGCAGCAGTCACCCAACAAGGATCTGATGTTTCTGGCCTTCACAGGCACCTGTACTTACATGCACATACCTTTATATGCATGAACACACAAACACACACACATGCACATAATTAAAAATAGTTTTTAAAGTAAGCTATATAGTTAGTCTTTATTCTTGCAATTCACTCCTAAGAAATTATATTTTTATTATTGGTCATTCAAAACCAATTTAAACTCTGAGATGACTGAAGGTTGGGAAAAGGAAAAAGTAGTCTTAACCTTGTCTTAGAACACCTGAATATTTCACTAAATTTGGTGGGTTAATAAAAGGAAGCAAAATAAGGTAGATTATCTGGCATAAGCTCAAAAGTATATTTTTGGGCCCAAAGATAATGAGCAGGTGATTTAGTTCTGAAACCACAAGATGTGGTGCTGGCAAACTAATACAATGAGAAGGCAAAATCTTACAGCAAGGAATTTTTCACCAGTTCTAAAAGGACACTTTAATGAAGGTCTGCTCGGATATCATTACCAAGGAGGAGACAGACCTATGTGACCAGTTCATTTTCTAATGATACTGCCACAAAAAAGTAATGGTGTACACCTATAACCTTAGCACTTGTGAGGCTGAGATAGCAGGAATACTGCTTAGTTCAAAGTCAGTCTGGGTCATACAAAGTGAACTCAACCTAGGGTATGTAGAGAAACTTTGAAAAAAGAAAGGGTGTTTTAGATTAGATACACCTTTCAAAATGAGTTAAAATGCATACAATTCTTTTTTGCTCTATAATTTATAGTTCTTACCAGCAGAATCACTCCAGGGAGTTCTCCACAAATTTACAAATTTGTTAAGATAAGGTTTCATTCTGTAGCCCAAGGCTGTCCTCAAAGTAAAGTATGTTTATTGGGGGTATTTTGTACACTGTGTGAGGTACATTGATATGATCAGCTTAATAAAGAGCTAAACAGCCAATAGCTAGGCAAGAGGTATATGGGTAGGACTTCCGAGCAGAGACAAGACTCTAGGAAAAAGAAGGTGGCGCTGCCAGTCATAAGATAAGAAAACAACACAGATAGTATGGAGAGCTTAGTCAATGAGCCATGCGACAGAATATAGATTAAAATAAATGGGTTAATTTAAGTTATAAGAGCTAGTGGAACAAGCCTAAGCTAAGGTCAATAAGTGTTTGTGTTGCTATTTGGGAGCTGGTTGGCAGGCTAGAGAAAGACTTGTTATAAATGGTGTCAATACCCAGAGCCCACTGCTCACAGCACACAGAGGTGCACCTCTTTTAAGAGACCCTGAGGTGCAGCAGAGCATTTGAGCAACAGGCATACTAGATTAAAAGTGCCTGCCACAGCAAATTCTCAGAGCTTGGGCAGTAAACACAGCTCCTGCCCACAGGAGGCTAGGCTGGGGATGGGGCAACTGCCAGAGCCACTCAATAGCAGTTAGTTTAAGGTTTGGATCACACATCTGAGAGCTCTGCAAGTATGCAGCTGCAGGCGCTTAATAAAGTCAGGTCCACAATGAGAAAACCTCTGAACAAATATAGATGCTAATAAAAAGAAAATGGTTATAGATAGTCATAGAAAAACATATAGTTTAAAAATAATAAAGTATTTAAAGAAAGAATAAAGTAACTTAAAAAGAATAAACCACAGCCGGGCGGTGGTGGCACATGCCTTTAATCCCAGCACTCGGGAGGCAGAGGCAGGCGGATCTCTGTGAGTTCGAGGCCGGGCTGGACCGATAGCTCCCAAAACAATACAGAGAAACCCTGTCTCGTAAAAACCAAAAAAAAAAAAAAAAAAAAAAAAAAAAAGAATAAACCACATAAGATTGGAAAACACAGGGTGTCTGGATCCTGTACGGTACTTTGCTGCCTCCAAAATTTTTAAATACAAATTCACAAAAAACAATAGCCGCTGAGGAACATTTGTTTATGGAAACTGCTAAACTGAATCAATTATATATATTTTAAGGCTGTCTTAACTTCAAAATGGAAGTCAGAAAATATGTTGTATTGGGGGAGAGGTTATGCCTTTGTTTCTACAGGAAACAAAAAGTTATGGTTCTTTTCAAAACTAATACAGAACAGATTAGGGAAGACCTCCTGAGGCTCTTGGCTACAGACATGAGGGAAAAAGACAAGAAAGACTACAAGGCAGGTGACATATTAGCCAATCCCTTGACATGGGAATAGCTCTGAGACTGGATGAAACACGTTAAAACTTGGTGAACTTGTTGGCTACAGAGTCCTCATGACATAATATTACATGTCATCTTTTCATATGGCATGGATAGAGGTTTGTTTAAACAGTCCAAACAGACTCATAAGTTGGCAAATGCCTTTTGCCTGTTTAAACATAGAACAAATAAAGTATCTTTAAGTGATTTGTGCACACGGCATACTTGTGTTAATGCAGGTATATGTGTTACCTTTAAAAGTTTGTGTTTTCAGTAAGAAAAAAATGACCAGACACCAATGAAAAAAGTAGTCCAGATGATCCAGCCTTTCAGAATGCCTCTGTTGCAGTTTCCGTAAAATTTGCATCCAGAACAACTTCAAAATTGCTAGCTGAGATGGTCCAGCTTCACACACTATTCCAGTCAGGACTTTAGATAAGCCCTGAACTTCACTTTTCCATTATAGAGACTGGACAACAAATGATACAGCCAGCTCCCCCAGGACCTAACCAGTATCCCAACTTTCTCAGGGTCCCCTAAAGATGCCATCGCCTCCAGACAACAGGAAGCAATCTAGAGAACATGATGCCCACATTCCCAAGAGGTGGGGTTTTTGGTCATTCAGTGGGTTATAGATGTTTGTCATAGTTTAGGGTGGTTGGTTACAAGTTGTTATTGGTCATGGTCAGGAAAAAAGCTGAACAAAGAAGATTAGATTCAGGGATCTCTTTCTGGAGTAAAAAAAGTGAGGACACAGTACAGAAATGATGGACTAAAAGGGTGAATGGTTGAGTCTACTTTTGAACAACCACTAAGTTTCAAATACTTTTCAATGGTATGGATTTTGGTATATTGAGATCCATCCATTGGCTAGAGTTATTGATCTGTAAAGTTATTAATCCACACTAACTCAAAACAACATAATTTAAAAGCAATAAACTAAGACTAGGTAATTACAACTTTTATAAAATGCTACCTAGCTCTCTAAAATAAGAGAAAAACTAGGATATACTTTGTTTACACAGTTTTTTTTAACATTTAGTGAGAAAGAGTCTCCAATTGAAAACAAGTGTGTCAATGAAAAGCAAGATCTGATTTATAATGATTCAATTTTAATTGTTATTGCCTTCATACTAAAGAATTTATACTATTTAAAATGCTATTTTAAA